GATTCTTGTTATCAGCCCTTTAACAGATGTGTAGAAAGCAAATATTTTCTCCCTTTCTGTAGGTTGTCTATTCACTCTAATGACAGTTTCTTTGGCTATGCAGAAGCTTTTTAATTGATCAGGTCCCATTTATTTATTTTTGTTGCTGCTATAATTGCTTTGGGGGTCTTTCTTCACAAATTCTTTACCTAAGCCAATGTCTGAAAGACTCTTCTCTATAATTTCTTCTAGGATTCTTAAGGTTTCATGCCTTAGGTTTAAGTCTGTTATCCATTGTGAATTGATTTTTGTAAGAGGTGAGAGGTGGGCATCCAGTTTCAATCTTCTGCATGTAGTTATCCAGTTTTCCCAGCACCATTTATTGAAAAGAGATTCTTTTCCGCAGTGTATATTTTTGTCTGCTTTGTCAAAGATTAGATGACAGTATGCAGATGGTTTCATTTCTGGGTTCTTAGTCCTGTTCCAAAGGTCTATATCTCTGTTCTTGTGCTAGTACCATGCTGTTTTAGTTACTATAGCCTTGTAGTAAAGCTTGAAGTCTGGTAGACTGATACCTCCCAGTTTGTTCTTTTTGCTTAAGATTGCTTTGGCTATAGGAGGTCTTCTCTGGTTCCATACAAAGCACAGAATTATTTTTTCTAGATCTCTAAAGAATGATGATGGTACTTTGATAGGGTTTGCATTAATTCTGTAGATCCGTTTGGGTAGCATGGATATTTTAACAATGTTGATTCTGCCAATCCATGAGCAAGGTAGATTTTTCCATCTGTTTACATCTTCTACAATTCCTTTTCTTGGTGTTTTTATAGTTCTCCCTGTATATGTCTTTCACCTCTTTTGTTAAATATATTCCTAGATATTTAATTTTCTTTGAGGCTATTGTAAAAAGTGCTGCATTTTTTATTTGATATTCAGCTTGACTCTTACTGGCATATATGAATGCCTCTGATTTGTGTGCATTGATTTTGTATCCGGAGAGTTTACTGAATTCATTTATCAATTCCAGGAGTCTCTTGGTTGAATCCTTGAGGTTTTCTAGATATAATATCATATCATCAGCAAAGAATGAGAGTTTAATCTCTTCTGCCCCCATCTGGACACCCTTAATTCCCTTTTCTTTTCTAATTGCTCTAGCAAGGACTTCCAGCACTATGTTGAATAGAAGTGGAGATAGTGGGCAAGCTTATCTGGTTCCAGTTCTAAGTGGGAATGGTTTCAATTTTTCCCCATTCAGTATGATATTGACCATGGGTTTATCATATATGACCTTAATGATTTTAAGATATATCCTGTCTATGCCTATTTTGTTAAGAGTTTTTATCATAAAGTTGTGCTGGACTTTGTCAAATGCTTTTTCTGCATCTATTGAGAGAATCATATGGTCTTTGTTCTTGCTTTTTATTTATGTGATATATTGCATTTATAGATTTGAGTATGTTGAACCACCTTTGCATCTCTGGGATAAAGCCCACCTGGTCATAGTGAATATTTTTTTTGATATGCTGTTGGATTCAATTTGCTAAAATTTTGTTGAGTATTTTTGCATCTATATTCATGAGGTATATTGGTCTGTAGTTTTCTTTTTTTGTTGTATCCTTTCCGGCTTTGGTATCAAGGTGATATTGGCTTTATAGAATGAGTTGGGGAAAATACCATCTTTCTCAATGTTGTGAAATAATCTCTGTAGTATAAGTATGAGTTCTTCTTTTTATGTTTGGTAAAATTTGGATGTAGACCCATCTGGTCTGGGGATTTTCCTTTTTGGAAGGTTTTTAATTGCTGCTCCAATTACTGTGCTTTATATTGGTCTGTTCAGGAATTCTATTTCCTCCTGGTTGAACTTAGGGAGGTTGTATGTTTCCAGGAATTTGTACATTTCCTCCATATTATGTAGTTTTTGGGCATATAGGTTCTTATAGTATTCAAAGATAATGTTTTGTATTTCCATGGTGTCTGTTGTGATCTCTCCTTTTTCATTTGTAATTGAGTTTATTAGAGTCCTTTCCCTTCTAGTTCTTGTCAGTCTAGCAAGAGGGCTGCACATTGTCTCTCAGAGCTCCCAAAACACACATCATTTCAGCTCAGATTTCTTTATTTCGTTGCCCAAAGCAAGCTGCAAGGCCATACTTATCTTCAAAGAGCTTAGCGGTTTACAGTCCTACCTTGTACCTTGGAAAGATGAAAAGGTGAATATTTCTGAACAGCCCAATTGATTACCACACTCTCCCTAGAAAAGTACTGCATAATGTAATGAACTATGTTGATAGTAAACACAGACAAAGCTAAATCTATAATATTGTGCAATATTGACCAAGGGCATAAAGACAAAGCAAAATTTAGTTAAAAAAATGTTTCTACAGGTGGCTAGGAAAAATCATTTTTGATACATAGCTCTTTATTGGTCTACCTTAATTCAAGAATATATTTCAGATTTTCTAAAGGAATAGATAAAATTTAGTTACTCTTAAGTATATATTGCTTCTCTCAACATAGTTTTTATAAGCATGAAGTCATAGAGTTTGTTTTTATACCCCTTAAGAAACAGAAATATTGGCTAACATTTATACAACACATTATAATGTTCCAGACACTGTGCTTTGCATAAATGTTCTCATAGTATCCACTTATCAAGTCTATGAGGTAATTATATTTGGAGAAACTGAGTCTTAAAGTAATTAATTTGCCCAAGGTCACTTAGTCAACAAATGGCAGAGCTGGCATTTAAATTTGTGTCCATCTGACTCCAAGGCCTATGTGCTTAACTAATACACTACTCTGCTTATGGGATGCAGCTTGAGTTTAACATGCATGTGCCTTAAACAATTGGTCAAGTGGGAGTTAGATCCATTCCCCTAATAAATAGGAGAGGAGACCTGGCCTGAGGGGAAACCTCCCAAACTCTGAGTGTAATTGTCTTAGGAGATACCTAAAAGTGTATATTTTAAAAGTATAGCTATGAGTAACACTTTTTCTGTTTCTATAGTTTATTCAATTATTGTATTAATATATATAGCTTGCCAGAACTTTAATTTTGCCAAGAAATATGAGTTATTTGCATTTCAAAAAGGTTAGTAGAATAAAAACTACAAAAGTGGATAGAGATAACCATACTTACTTGTGTAAGTGTCTCCCTTTTAAGGGAGATAACATCACTAAAGTAAATAGGGGTAATCATGAAAATGAAATTTTCCCAATGCAGGTGGAGGAAGACTGGAACATTTTTTCACTAGTGAAATTTCTAAAGACTTATTAAGAACAGTTAAGATATATTTTCATATAGTTGTATCAAATAGAGTAATTTTTGGTTTTGTAGGCAATCTTCCCAAGCATCCAGAGATGCTGAGAACAGAAGATACATGAAAACTCTAATCAAGGGGAAAATTAATATTTTTTTCCTAAAATAAATCAATGGGTTAGAGGAAAGTGGGAGGAAAAAAGATAGTAAATACAATCATTTTATTATTATTTATTACTCATATCTACATCACTCTTTTTTTCCTTAAATTTCTTTGCTTATGTTTGTCATTTTTCCTTACTTTTTTGTGTATTGCCATTTATTCCCAGCTTAGATTCTTTGCCTGATATTAATATTATGTTACTTTCTATTAACAGCAATTCTATAATGGAGGTCAGGTGATCTGAAAAGTAAGCTTTTTATTGTGGGTACAGTGAACATGAAGTAGAGATTCCTTTATTATTGAAATTATGCCTGTTCACAGAATACTAAAACTTAAGTGATATTAGATACATATGTATTTAAGAATGGTTCAAAATGGAGTAAGTTTTAAGAAAACCATATGGTGTATTAACTTTCTTGCCCATCTAATTCCAACTTAATGTAATAATGTTGGTTCTATTCAAAATTTTAAAACGTAGGTTCCTTGTTAACCAATTCTTTAAAATGTGGTGAAGTTAAACACTTACCTGCCTCTAGTATTTCAGGCTAGTGTCTAATATTTCTTGATGTCTAATGTCAAAAATCAACCCAAGTGACTTTTCCCAACTCTTAATAGATTTGTCATCAACATTACAATCTTTAGATCTGATTAGTCTACCTAGTAGCTGATAATCCATGCAATAGTCTAGAACAAACCTCTCAGACCACCTTTTTCCTCTGCTCTACATTAAGATATACTTAATACCTAGCTTGTGCTTTTACGCTGATTGACATGGCTGATTAAGTCACATGGTTCTCCTTTCCCTTAAGATGTGGCAAGATTTTCTTTGTACCGTCATGTATATTCATGCAGTTTAGAAGGATAGATCACCAAGTCTTTTCTTATCTGGATGTGTTGTCAGAATAAGGAAAAAGTGGACTCTGACAGACAGGGGTCCAAGCTTCCTACTGTATTTAATTAGAGGGTCTTGGAAAGAGCTCTGGACCGAGAAGCAAAACACCTATATCTGTGTCCTCTCCTGCTACTTAATAAATGGTGGCTTAAACACATCATAGCATTTCTTACACTTTAGTTTTCTCACCTGTAAATTGTAGACAATGTTACTTAATTCAGAATGGATTGTGAAGGTGACATGAGATAATGTAAATGAATGAATTCTATTAATATAAACTCTAAAGCCCTATTTAGTAAAAATATGACATGGAATATATATTTCCTCTTTGAGTCAAGCTATAACAATACCTTAACATTCTCTCATCCACGTTTACCTTTTTTCATGTTTAGGGTACATTGCTAGAAGGACAAAGGGGTATATCATGCCTTTTTGTGATAGTGTTTTCACATGAATAGGATCTCAGTAAGCATCAAAATTGCAAGGAGAATTTCAAAGGAGTATCAGCAATGGTCAGTCTGTCCTTACTTCTTAGGCCATGGTCCTAGAATAACTGACCACATGTAGATACTATTACTTTTGAGTCTTGAATGTTTAATTTCTCCACATTCTTAAAAGATGACTTGCAAGTAGAAATTTCATAGATTTGCCACCTTGTGTTGCTTTTGTCAGTACCAGAATTTTAAAAAATATTTTATTTTCTGTTTTAGCTATTGACTTCAACATGGTAAAAATTTTAAAGAACCCAAGGGCACACGCAATGTCCACATCTAAGGACGAGTCAAGATTATCAAGACTAACAACAAAGGTTTGGAGTACAGTAATTATAAAAAATGTTCTTACTTGTTTAATTTGCAATATAATTCAATTGACTACACTTCATATAAGTAATGTAGGTTATTACATTCTCAACATATATTTTAGAAAAAGATTTAATGATAAAAAGATATTTATTTGGAGGGCTTAATCTTAATATTAAAAAGTTTTATTTTCTACTGAAAATAGCCCTCTAAATGAAAAAAAATATATAGCATTTATCTTTTCTTGACAACACTTCTTGTCACCACTTCTCCTTAGATTGACACACAATAGTCTTTTCACATGAATAGGATCTCAATAAGCATCAAAATTGCAAGGAGAACTTCAAAGGAGTGTCAGCAATGGTCAGCCTGTCCTTACTTCTTAAGCTGTGGTCCTAGAATAACTGACCACATGTGGATACTATTACTTTTGAGTCTTGAATACTTAGTTTCTCCACATTCTTGAAGATGCCTTGCAAGTAGAGATTTCATAGATTTGCCACATTGTGTTGCTTTTCTCAAGATTTGATGAGGTTATTGACTGAAAATTCTGAATTTGATCTCTTAATTTGTTAATTAAGTTTTAAGTCTGTTACAGTCTTTATTGTAAAAATTTTATCTAAATTATCTAGTCAAGTCTTAGTCATTATTTAAAATCAGAAATTATGCCTAAATAAAAGCCACTTTCTAAAAGTCAGTATTTATGTGTTTCCTGGCCTTTAATAATCCCGTTTTGTAAAATCTCTTCCTAATTTATTCCAACCTTTACAGTGCTACAAAGGATGGTTTGTTAGGATAGAAACTAGTGATCTGTAGGCATCAATTTTTAGTCGATGACAATGTCACCATTTCCCTTTGGGGCAAGATTGCTAGATTTAGAAATCAGGGATGTGTAATAGAAATTGTATATCAGATCTTTAGCAAGCACTAAAAATAGTCTCTTTTACTTTGTTTACTTTGTTCAGTTGAAGAAATATGGATTAATGGATTTGTAACTGACTAAACAACCTTTTTCAGAAGACACTGTTAAAAGATAGAAAACCAGTTGAAAATATATCTTTAGTAGCACACCATATTGCTGCATTACTGGCCTTGTCCCAGTGTGTTAGTCAGCTTGGCCACTGTTAAAAAAAGCAACAACAACAAACAAAAAACAAAACAAAAAAACACCATAGTCTAAGTAGTTTAAACAATAAGAATTTATCTTTCACAGTAATGGAGGATGGGACTCTTAAGATCAAGGAGTCAACCAATTTGGTTTCCTTGTGAAGGCTCTCTTCTTGACTTGCAGATGGCCTCTTTCTTATCATGTCCTCACATGACAGAGAGAGCAAGCTCTGGTCTCTTCTTCTTCTTAAAAAGGACAGTAATACCATCTACGTTTAGACGACTTCATCTAAACGTAATTACTTCCCAAAGGCCCACCTCAAAACACCATCACATTGGAGGTCAGGGCTTCAACACATGGCTTTGCGGGAGACACAGACATTCAGTCCATAACATATAATTAGATAATAATTGGTGTAGTATGTCTGTTTTTGTAAACCTGCATTGTAAACAGGGTTTAGACAAATGGAAGTGTTTTAAACAGAAAATAATCAAGATAATGAAGGGCTCTGAAACTATATTGCTTGAGCAATGGCCAAAATTTATAATATTATTAATTTATAATTATTGTAAATTATATTGATTTAATATTTGTAATACTTAAGTATTAAATTAAGTATTTAAAGGCATTTCTGGAAAGGAAAAGACTCTGGAGGCCGTAATAACTGTTTTCCAATATATAGAGAGCTACTGCAGGAAAGCAGAATTAGGCTTCTTCTTTGTGGCTCAAAAAAAAAGTATAACTTTTATCAATAAGTGAAAGCTATGGCGAGATAGATTTCAGCTCCACATGAAGAAGGATTTTCTAAGCACCAAAGTTCTCCACATGTTGAATGCGTTCCTGTAGGTTCTCTATCTCCGATAGTGACATTGGATGTGAGCATTGGCAGAACACATATTGAAGCCTCAAAAATCCAAGTTTAGTTCTCCAGTCATTGTCAGCAATTATCCCTTAATAAATTAACAGAAAAATTTGGGCACCAAAACCACCCCTTGGACTTTCTAGTTCTTCCCTTGTGATTATTCCAAAGTTTACAGGGTTGATTCAAATTTAGTGCTAAATTGACTTTTGACTTATAAAAGTCTTATTTATGGAATCTTAAAGTGCTCTGACAAATGTCTGCTATTATCTTTTGTGGGATGAATGAAAGCAATGGGGCGTCTGTTAATTTGTTAGGCTATTTGGAGTGTCTCTAGGAAGAGGTCTGTGGGCAACTTGGGACTTTCTGCTTTAAAGCATCTAATAAAAGGCTAAGGCTCCACAAAACACTGGATTTGCATTTAATACCTAGTTCAGCTCTTGTCTAGTTGAACTACCCTTAAGCCAGGTACCGTGGCTCACGCCTGTAATTCTAGCACTCTGGGAACCCGAGGTGGGAGGATTTTGACCCCTGCTTGAGACCAGGAGTCTGAGACCATCCTGAACAAGAGCAAGACCCCATCTCTACAAAAGAAAAAAAAAAAAAGAAAGAATAAGAAAAATTAGCTAGGCATAGTGGCAGGCACCTATAGTTCCAGCTACTCAGGAGGCTGATGCAGGAGAATTGCTTGATCCCAGGAGTTTGAGGTTGCTGTGAGCTACGATGACACCACTGCACTCTGGCCCGGATGACAGAGGAAGATTTTGTCTCAAAAAAAAAAAACCTCACAGATGCTCATAGAGGAAGAAGGAGCTATGAACTATGGTTTTCCTAATTTAATAACTGATAACTGCAGAAAAATAACAGAAATATCTTTTTCTCAAACTTAAGTAAGGTAAAATATTTATCTCATATTAACCAAGGCAGCAACAAGAAAAGGGGCACAAAACTTCTATTTAGTGAGGCAAGTTTTTTTTTTAATCTAAACTTTGCTTGGGCTCTTTTGCATACATTTTAAAGATCAGGCTATATATAACCCAATGTGAATTAACATGGGAGATTAAGATGAAGGAAGTGATTTACACCATAGAAAACATGTCTGATATTGACATTAAGTTTTCACCATCAAAAAATGGATTATGATAGTCCCATTATTTTAAATAATTCTGTAGCAGCTAGGAATTCTGTAAGACATATTATTTGTTAAAACCTATAGAATGAAAAAGTGACCATAAGCAAAATAAATTCAGGGGAACTTTATTTATCAACAAAAGCAAATGAAAATAAAATCTTATTTCCCCACAGGAAGTGAAATCAATAATAAGCATCTTGGCATTACAAAGATTGAGGAAAGACTTAAAATATTAGTAGTTACTACATTTAGGGTTGTTTTGTTGACATAGAGTTCTTGGTCAACAGTTTTTTTCCATTTGCACTTTGACTATGTTATCCCACTGCCTTCTGGCCGCCTCCTTTGTTATGATAGAAATTCAGCTGTTCCAGTACCAAGCTGTTTTAATCACTACAGCCTGGTAGTACAGCTTAAAGATTGACCTCTGGAACAGGACTGAGAATCCAGAGATGAAACCATCTGCATATGGTAATCTAATCTTTGACAAAGCTGACAAAAACATACACTGGGGAAAAGAATCTCTTTTCAATAAATGGTGCTGGGAAAACTGGATAGCTACATGCAGAAGACTGAAACTAGACCCCTACCTCTCACCTCTCACAAAAATCAATTCAAGGTGGATAACAGACTTAAACCTAAGGCATGAAACCTTAAGAATTCTAAATGAAGATGTTGGGAAGATCCTTTCAGACATCGGCCTAGGTAAGAAATTCTTGAAGAAGACCCCCAAAGCAATCGCCGCAGCAATAAAAATAAATAAGTGGGATCTAATCAAATTAAAAAGCTTCTGCACTGCCAAGGAAACTATCATTAGAGTGAATAGACAGCCCACAGAATGGGAAAAAATATTTGCTCTCTACACATCTGACAAAGGGCTGATAACCAGAATCTATCTAGAACTCAAAAAAATCAACAAGAAAAAATCAAACAACCCCATCAACAAATGGGCAAGCGAAATGAACAGAAACTTTTCAAAAGAAGAAAGAATAATGGCCAGCAAACATATAAAAAAATGCTCAACATCTCTAATCATTAGAGAAATGCAAATCAAAACCAAAATGAGGTATCACCTAACCCCAGTGAGATTGGCCTCTATCAAAAAAACACAAAACAACAAATGTTGGCGAGGGTGTGGAGAGACAGGAATACTTTTACACTGCTGGTGGGACTGCAAATTAGTGCAACCTCTGTGGAAAAGAATTTGGAGATACCTCAGAGAGCTAAAAATAGAAATACCATTCGATCCAGCAATAGCACTATTAGGCATCTACCCAAAAGAGCACAAAACATTCTACGATAAGGACATCTGCACCCGAATGTTTATGGCAGCACAATTCACTATTGCAAGAATGTGGAAACAACCCAAGTGCCCGTCAATCCATGAGTGGATTATCAAAATTTGGTGTATGTTCACAATGGAATATTACTCAATCATAAGAAATGACAGTGATCTAGCACCTCTTACACTTTCCTGGATTAAACTTAAGCCCATTATCCAAAGTGAGGCACCACAAGAGCAGAACGGGATCCATTTGTACTCACCATCAAATTGGTATTAACTAATCAACACATAAATGCACATATCAGAACAACATCTATTGGATGCTGGGGAAGGGGGAGAGTGGCAGGAGGAGGGGGGAAGAGGGAGGAGGGGAGGGGTATTTGTATACACAAGGAGGGCAATGCGCACTACCTGAAGGATAGACATATTTGAAACACGGACTTGGGGGGGGACCAAGGGCAACACACGTAACCTAAACATCTGTACCACGGGGAGGGCGGCTGGAGGAGGGGAGAGGAGGGAGGAGGGGATGGGTATTTGTATACACAAGGAGTGCAATGCGCACTACCCGAAGGATGGACATATTTGAAACACAGACTTCTGGGGGGTGGGGAACCAAGGGCAACACACGTAACCTAAACATCTGTACACCCATAATTTGCTGAAATAAAAAAAAAAAAAAAGAAAGAAATTCAGCTGTTAATCTTATCAAGGTTCCCTTATATGGGATGAGTTGTTTTTCTCTTGCTGCTTTTGAGGTTTTTCTCTTTGTCTTTGTCTTTAAATATTTTGTCTATGATGTGTGTACATATGAATTTATTTTACTTAGAGTTTGTTGAATTTCTTGGATGTGTTTTTCATAAAATTTGGAAAATTTCAGCCATTATTTCTTTATATTTTTTTCTGGGCCTTTTCCTGGCTCTGTTCATTTTCTTCATTCTTTTTTCTTTCGGTTCTTCAGACTAATCTCTATTGAGGTTATTTGAATATTCAAGCTTGAGGATAAATCAAAAGTCTAGAAGAGCCTTATTGCACATACTCATAGACTCATACCTTGGTAAATTCCTTTAAGAAGATGCTCTGTAAAATTTTCTTTTATTTATTTTAATATATCAAATAGTAATTTTTATTTATACTTATTATACAGTTATATTTTATTCATAGTTCTTTAAAAACCCAAAAGTAATAATTGACTTGATTCTTTTCTTCCTCTTACAGTCCCATTATACTAGCTATGGTCCAGAGTTTAATCGTGTTCTCTTCGATTTTGGAGGTCAGAGTCCACTGATTTTATATTATCTCAAAATGCATGTGGTAGGTGGTGTTCCCAAAGTCCCTAAACACACCAAGATTAAACTCACTGAAATATTCCAAGAACCATATCCTTTTTTAAGCTTTGTTTTAATATGATTTGCTTTAAAAATACTCAAAACATTTTACTAGATGTCTTAATTAAGAAAAAAATGGATTGTGTTTTTTTAAATCAATGCCTTTATTTAGCATTTACTCATGCTCAAAAGTTTTGTATCATGTTTGGCTGAAGTATTTTCTCTTTTAGATGTAAGGCTGTGATTTTGCATTTAAGAAAAATAAAAACAAATGTAAAACCATGGAACTTTAAAAACTGGTATACTTAGCTCTGTGATAAAAGGCTATCTTTGCGACTTTAGTGTTCAGTGTTAAGTTTTAACCATTTGTCAGAACTGTGGGACGTGGGCTTCTAGGCTTCTCCAAATAGAGTTCCAGACATGTTTTAGCTGTGGAATTCTTTGTTCAAATGAAAAATTATCAGAAAGCTCAATGTGTAAAATAAAAAATAAATGAAATTGGAGCTATTTGGTTGAAGCAGGGTTGGGAGCCCTGAGTTCTTTCTATTTATAGCCCTGTCCCACCTCTGTATAACCCTTTCTGTCCCAGGCCTCACTCAGAACTCAGATGAGCCCAAAAGGGATCTATTAATAGAACAGTGATCTCAAATTGGAGTGTATATAATGCTGGGTGTAGAAGAAAACATTAAGACTTTTTTTTATATCTATTTCTATCCTAAAAGTAAAACAGAAGTCAAACTTTACTAATATTAAGTAAAGAGGAACCCCTACTCAGCTGATACTTCAGTCTGAACCCTACTATGTAGGGTGAGAACGATGGCATCTTTGCACTTGTGTCATTTTCGAAACTTCACAACATATTACTGTTTTCTTTTGGTAGTTAAGCAGATTTATAAATTATAGCATCTAGTCTTAACTAAATTAACACTCACTAATGGATCAATAGCTTGAAGAGACTCCTGAAAAGAAACTGTGGATTGATGATAATATTTATTAATATAATACAAGAATAAATTTTAAACAACAAAAAAATGGCAGAATGATATTTCTCCTACTCCCTGAAGGAGATCCTTTCTAGCCACGCTAAAAACGAAATCAATGGTAACTCAATCAGTTCTGCCAAAATGTAGGCCAAAAAGATGAAAATAAAATGTTTCAAAAAGACTATTTGAAATATGATATACATTATTATCATAAACAATAGATCAAACTCTAAGTTTATGTTTTATACTTCAATATTAGCTAATGGTAATATGATGTTGGTTTAATTAGCAAGACATTTAAAAACCTACTCTGCAGAATATCAGTACAACTCTGTAATTTGAGGACAAATAGGTTTGATGTACTATTAATAAATGAAATAAGTTGAATTTTGTTTTTGAAATATTTTTAATTTATCTCACTTTTCTATTTATAGATTGCATATATTTTATAATATACATAATATAGTAATATAGATTGATGTATATATATTTTAATATAAATATAAATTTATATTGAATTTAAAATTATACCTATATGGGAGTTTACTCAAATACTTTTACTCATGGGATGCATGATCAAAAAAGTATAGAGATCACAGTTCTAGCAGATTCTCAGTATCCTTCCCAGGACACTTCTCCCATAGTTCAGTCAAGACAACCTCCAGAGCTTCATTGACCACAAGCACATGAAATTAACTTGGACAGCCCTGGACTACAAAGAGAGAGACAAATTATGGAGCTAAATCAGACTACAGGGCAAGTTCTCAGACTTGTAACTTAAGTAGTGATATAAGAACTCTCATCACCCTTGAATTATGTCCAAAACAAAATTTTTTAAATGTTTAAAAGTCAATTCAAAAGCTATCTAAAACCTTTCATAGTAGATTACTTTTATTTTTAACTATTTTTTAATGTGATTATAAAAATGTGAGTATGTGATTTTGTTTGCATTTCTGATGGGCATGGGTTTGTCCAAAAGCTATGCAAGAATTTATACCACCAGTTTACTGAGAATGTAGGAGAGTGTGAGTACGTGTGGGGGCAGGGAAGGGAGGATATGTAGACATAAAACATGAAGAGAAGATTAGGAGAAGATTTCATCCCATTGAAATTTGAAACAAGTGAACCTTTGGAAAGTAATGGGTCTTTCCATGATGCTTTCAGAGCTTATAAAATGTAATACCCACTGATAAGCAAAAATGTTTCCAGACTTAATGAACAAAATGACATTGATGGTGATGTTTCACTTTCATCAGCACTGGAAAGTTTTTCAAAGCATGTGTTGAATTCCCCCTGTGTATATTTTTTATTTCAAAATATTAAGGGGATGCAAGTGTTTTTGTTACATGGATACTGTTATAATGCTTAAGTCAGGGCTTTTAGTGTACCCATTACCTGAATAGTATTCATTATACCTGTTAGGTAGGTTTTTACCCCTCCCCAACTCCCCCCTTTCTGTTTAGATGAGGCTTCCCTCCCTCCCCCTACACTGGTAAAGTTGTGTCTATAGCATATTTAGGGTAAGAACTTTTGGCTTTGCTTTGGGTGCTTTGATGGTGATCTAGGATCTGGATGGATACCTTGGTTATAGATATCCTTAGTTGGTGGTTTTCTCAGTGCTAGCTGTTTGTAGGCTGTACCAGTGGTGAGCTATGTGTGTGGACGGATTCCTTGTCTCTGTGATGAGGGAGGATGGAGGTCTTTGCAATCCTTTCTCTTTCCCAAGTCCTGTATTCTTCTTAACCATGTGAATTGTATTGGCACTCCCCATTTAATCTCTGAGACAGTAGGTGTACTTGTGGGTAAGAATCAACCACATTCTGTATGCTTGAGTCAGTAAATGCTATGAAGGGCATGCAAATTGGCCTCCCTGTCAGTAAGTGGCACTTGCTGGAAGGAACAAGTTGCAGTGTTGTTTTGGGGACCTGTGACTAGCTCTAGCCCCTGAGGAGGAGCACTCGAATGCCCTAGGTGGTGGGTGGGGTCCTGGAACTTCCAGGTGAGTCCTTATTCTCCAAGACAGCAGAGATAGGTGGGGGAGTGAGGCTGGGCAGGGCTGGGTTGGGTGAGCCTGCCCTCAGTCTTCACAAAAGTTGGTAAGGTAGCTATTTCAGCAAGGGTCAAAATTCTGCTCCCAGGATTCTGGGGAACGTGGCCAGGGAGGAACTGAAGGGGCCTCACCCAGCCAGAAAATCTGCTTGTTGGGGCGGGACCATCTGAGAGTCACAGTCTGGCTGGCAGGGGTGATTTGGCTCTTTTCTTTACTTCACTGCTCCATGGTCTCCCTCCAGCATCTGCCAGCAGGCAGGAGCTCAAACTAGCTAAGCTCCCTAGCAGTGGTGCTGTGGGCTGGGAGCTTCCTATCTAAGATCCTGCCTTGGGCTGAGAGCACCATCTTCCTGTTGGGGGAAGGGTGCTCTGCAAATGGGCTGTGGCTGGGGCACACACTGTGCTCTCTTTTCAGTTCTGCCCATGCAGGCTCCCTCGCCTCTCATGATTAGTTCACAAATCTCCCCTCTGTGCCCCCAAGCAACATGATCAAGTCCTGCGTGTATGGATTCTGGCCTGCAGGCCTGTCCCTGGGTCCCCAGAGATCAATCTCTGACCATACCAGAGAGAAACGTGCTGGTCCTGAGTTGCCTATGGGGTGCTCAAAAGTAGGTTTGATATCCCTCGGCTTCAGGGTATGCCCTGCTCTAATAGAGCAGCTGTGCAAGCAGCACCAGGGAGGGCCGGTGAGCAGGGAGCTCACAGTCCAAGCACCCCTTAGTCCTCTGAGGTCTTTAAGAGGAAAGGTTTGAGCCCCACTCTTTGTGGAAGCCCCAACAGAGGGGAAGCAGTGGCTCCTGAGAGCCCCAACTCAAGCAACTCTCTTGACAGCCATGGGCAGGGTAGGGGAAGGAGAGGAAAAGAGTCTGAATGGAGGAAAGTTAGCACTCTGGTCATCTCTGTCACTCTCTCCAGAAGGCAGCTGGCCTGGAATATCCAGGCTCTGGGGTCACACAGATCCCTCGGGCCCCACCGGCCCCCTGTGCTCCCATAGTCTGGGCTGGAGTTGGGAAATGTTTGTGCGGGAATGAGCAAGATGAAAACTGAAGAGCTGAAGCCCCGTGAGGAGGACAAAGGCACCCAGTGGGTGGAGAAGCAATATCGTGCCTGCCACCTCAGCTCGGGTCTGTGGTGACAGGGAAGCTCCCTAAGGGGACTGGCAGCCTGGTGCTTTGTCTCCAAGAAGCTCCCAGTTCACTGGTGGCAGCGACTTTTGGGCGTGTGAAACTAGAAAGTCTCTCCAGCAGCTTGGGAGCCTGCTGACTGCCAGAAATGTGAGGGAGGGAGGACCAAACCACTCCACCTACCCTTTTCGCTGGACTCCAAGCCTTGGGGGGTTGACCTCTGCTCCTTCTTGTTCTGCTCCTCAACTTCTTCCCATGGAATCTCTTATAGGTTTTGGCACGTTTCCCTTGGAATTACACCCTATCTATGTTTGTTTGTTTTTTCTTTTTCATCTAAAACAGTGGTCCCCAACCTTTTTGGCACCAGGGACTGGTTTCATGGAAGACAATTTTTCCATGGAAGTGGGGGGAGAGGCGGAGCTCAGGTGGTGATGTGAGTGATGGGGAGTGGCTGTGAATACAGATGAAACTTTGCTCACTGGCCCACCACTCACCTCCTGCTGTTTGTCACCCCTGCGCCCACCACACACCCCCACCCCTGCCCCATTACTAAGTTTCATGGAAGACAATTTTTCCACAGATGAGGGGTTAGGGGGCAGCAGAGCTCTGTGACCTGGTCCCTAACAGGCCACAGACTGGTATCGGTCCATGGACTGGGGGTTGGGGACCACAGATCTAAAACTTTTCCTTCCTTCTGAGACGATCTGGCAGCTGGTGTCTTTGGTCAGCCATCTTGTCTCATCCGTGAAGACTGCGCTCACTGAATTTATCTCTATATCATTCAAATTTTACCTTGAAGCTACACAGCATACAGAATATTTTTACTATTTTTCTCTGTACTCATTGGAGTTGTATGGTTTTCCTGAAGTGGAGCAACAAGAAGTGCATCTACACAGA